AAACCAGAGCTCTGGGTCGGAAGGCCAAAATGGCGGAATTTTAACTACCACCGCGTTCGTAGCTACGACGTTTGTAGCGGCCGTAGGTGGCGGAGTTTTGTTCGAGTTGCTTGATGAAGAAGGAGTCTGTTAGTATTATTGGATATCATTCAGTCGGACCACGGATATTTGAGTTTATGATCTACATTTCGTAACAACAACGTAAACAGTAAAACCATGTGTTAAAAGCAATATATAAAAGATGGCGTGACCTAGATATGACGTCACGTGCAGTTCTAGCTTTTTCGCATACATTAACATAATATTGACAGAGTCGTCATAATGATGAAGTAAATACGGGGTCACCAATGTAGAATTCACACCGTATATAGTATAAAATATCTTTATTTTATCAACACACTTTGTTTACTTTTTACTTCTTTGTTACTATTTAAGTTTATCATAAATTAGTTCTGTCTGACCAAGCAGCTGACCAGGTTATATTTTGTCCCCACACGAGTTATATTAATTGCGAAAGAAACATTAAAATATGTATATTAACCTACCTGTTTTGGCAGCCATTTTGAAAACCGTGTTATCGGGGCCTGGTAGCTATTAAGACCTAGGCTCCCGTATTTGTAGGAGTATAAAAATAGCCTATAAAAAGACTAGTTTTTGCCATATTTTGTAAAATAGTGTAAAAAAGTAAAAAGCAAATAAGTGTGGTTATATTCAATTCATTTTTAAACATCGTTTTGAACGTTAGTGAAAGCAGACAAGTACTTTACACAGTTTTAACAAGGTGAAATCACCCCAAAGACGTTACGGTTAACCATTGGTATTTCGATACATAGTTTCCCGAGAGATATTTTTAAAAGGTTCATGTGAAAGCAATGAGACACAGGCTTGGAAAAATAAAGGATAATAAATATTTAACTAGTTCCGTTTTCAAACCTTATAATGTATTAATCTTGTCACTTACCAATACATTGCATTTAAAATGTCATGATACGACATGATAGCCGGGTATCCGAACTTGTTACCTGCTTTTTTCGAACTCTCCATACAATAAATGTTATTAAAATTGCAACGATTTTTGGTCCCTTTTTGAGAGACTCAAAACGACTTATTTGTTGCGAATCCCATGGACTAAAGTAAGTATCGTATTTGCACGGACTAATGTCAAAAAGTTAAAAAGTTGGCAAAGTAAAATAAAAAGGCACTAATAATATTGAGTACGAGCACATGCAATTTTGCGTGTGGCCATAATCAAGCTTGCTGGAGCATCTGCAATTCATATGAAGCAACGAATAGAACATACAAATGTTTTGCTCTTCATCACTAATTCCCTTCATCACTTTTTATCTTCTAAGATTCTATATTTCAGTTTTCCTATTAACGTTAGGTAACGGTTATTGTCCTGTATACATGCATTGTATATGACAAATACGAAGCATACACTGTTATAGATACGACAGCTTTATATTAATTCATCGCTGGCGTAATTAATGAATTATATATTTAGCCAGGGAAAAATAATGAATATTCCACTAATATACTTGATGCTAATAATAATATAGTGGAATGATGTTTAGTACGTGAGTAATATCGAAGCAAAATGATATAATAAATTAATAATATAGCAGAAATTAGATAAAATAATATCGTTAAGCTCCAATGATTAGAATTTTTAGCTGCGGTTATAAATCGTAATTGAGATAAACTTACATTGAATTCTGCCAGCCAAATACAGTAAAATGATCCAGCTTTGTGGTGTCATCTTTGGATTAATATTCAGATTGATATGTTTAGTGAAGACCAGTCGACATATACTTGCATGCGTTGTGTATTTCAATAAATTTACGAAACGAGATATTTGTATAAAGATTCAAATGGAAGTTAGTGTCTACATGCCGGTAATAACAGCACCAATTAATAACCTGTTACAAAAAAATATATCCGTCGCGTTTTAATTCATAGTTTTTTAACGCTTGTTAGTTTATGTATGTACCGTGACAGAACCATTCAAATTTACCAGCGCTTAAAGTTTTTGATAATTAACGCTACGGAAATGCAAGGTACCTTGGTCTATTATAACGAAGATTAAAATATTCTAAAATCTTATGATTTTGTCAGTGAAGCCGTGAACTCAAGGAAGTTATTTTTCGGCACTTGATTGTTTCTATACTAATATCATACATTTTCGTTTTGACACAGGTGAAAGCGATAAAAATCATTTTAATTTAACGCCGTTTCGATGTCATCTTACATCATTTTCATTAGTGTTCGTTACTACGCAATTCAGGTCCGCGTTAACGCGGTGGAAGAAGCAGGGCCTTTTTTAACATAGAAGCTGGTGGGGGGGGGGGGGCAAATCCCCCCCCAATCGCCCTTGTGCCCCCACGAAATCACCCTTGTGCCCCCACGAAAATATTTTGCCTCCTCCCCCCCAGGGAAAGTCCCTTTTTCCTAAATCTATGAACAAACCAGTGTAGAAAAACAAATAGATAAACGGAAAGTAAGTTTTAGGCTTTATCCTAGCGTTGTCCTTGTTTAACAAAATCGATTTAAATTGTTACGTTTTTCCATCACAAAGTAATGATAAATTATTGTTAATAATTATTTTATTTTTTGTGTGTTTTTTCCTTCTTTTATTTTTGAAATACAAATGTAGTTAGCATAAATTTTAGAGCAAATTTGGATGCTAATTTTGAGCGTGTTGATTTAATCGAACGATACTTTCACATGGACTTTGGTTACAGCGAGATCGTACTGTTTTGGGGGTTATTGCACGGGTACGTTTTGAGCATTCGTCAGCTGAAGCGAATCCTACGCCACAACGTGGTCTATAGGAAGACGAAGGAATCTTTCCAATATTGAAGAAGTTTACCGAGCAATCAGAAAAGAATTGCGTGGTAGCGGAAGCATGATGGGTTATCGACGATTACTACACGGTCATCGTGTGGTTGTTGATAAAGAAACTGTGAGGGAACTTTTGAAGATTTTGGACCCTGAAGGAGTTGATGCCAGGTCAAGACATCGATTACAAAGGAGACAATATAAAACGGAGGGTCTAAATCATGTGTGGCATATAGACGGCTATGATAAGCTTAAACCCTTTGGTTCTGCATCCATGGTTCTATTGATGGATACAGCAGGCGTGTAATGTGGCTTGATGTGGGTCCTTCCAACAACAACCCCAGCGTAATAGCTCAGTATTATATTGAATGTGTTCAACAGATCTGAGGAACTACCAGAATAAATAGAGGGGACTATGTGAACAGAAGGAATGCGTGACTAATTGTTGTAGTGAACATGAACAATTTGAATTACAAATGAGTTGTGTGATAAGCAGTAGGTATGTTTAGTTTTTGTAATATATTGGTAGCAGGAAATGGTTTCTTAGTTAAATTCGTTTAGTTTTAAGGAGAGAAATCGTTAGATAAATTAGTTGCCGAGTCGAATTATGGAAACGGCAAACATAGAAATACTTGAACATGGAGATCAGCAGAGCTTAGCGGCAGACGAACGTTTAGACAGTCTAAAATATCGAAAAGCTTTAGCTAAAACTGCCTTTACGAAAGCAAAAAATCAAGTTTTGCGTTTATTAGAAGAAGAATGCATCGAAATATCGGATCGAAATCGAGTAAAAGAAGCCTGTGAAAAGCTAACTATTAAGGCCTAAGTCCACAAGGCGGAATTTTTCGACCGAAACGAAATTTCTCTTTGTCTTTTTACAATTAGTTCTGCTCGACAGCTCTGAAACAAAGAGAAATCGAAATTTCTCTTTGTTTCAGAGCTCTCGAGCAGAACTAATTGTAAAAAGACTAAAGGCCGGATTCCACGAGGCGGAATTTTTCGACCGAAACGAAATTTCTCTTTGTCTTTTTACAATTAGTTCTGCTCGAGAGCTCATGAAACAAAGAGAAATTTCGATTCGGTTGAAAAATTTCGCCTAGTGGAAAACCGCCTTAAGAGAAATTTCGTTTCGGTCGAAAAATTCCGCCTCGTGGACTCAGGCCTTAATAGTTAGCTTTTCACAGGCTTCTTTTACTCGATTTCGATCCGATATTTCGATGCATTCTTCTTCTAATAAACGCAAAACTTGATTTTTTGCTTTCGTAAAGGCAGTTTTAGCTAAAGCTTTTCGATATTTTAGACTGTCTAAACGTTCGTCTGCCGCTAAGCTCTGCTGATCTCCATGTTCAAGTATTTCTATTTCGGTCGAAAAATTTCGCCTAGTGGAAAACCGCCTTTAAGCAAGAACAACTTATGGAAATATTCGAAGCCTTAATCGGGCAGTATTGAAGCAGAACGGACCGCCAAAACAGAACAAAAACTATCGAAGGGATCGAAAAAATGGAGCATGATTTTAGTGAAGTTATAAATCGAGCTCAACAGTATTTAGATAACACGTTTACAGATGTGTTCAGCCACGCAAAGTCGTCGAGAGTAAAGCCAGCGTCTAAACTCCAACCCCGTGAAGCGGGCTATAAACAATCAGACACTAGACAAAGCGAAGAGCTTGAATTATCAAAAGAGGAGATTGAGATACAAACAGTGTTAGCAGAGACAGAACTTTCTCGGCAAATAAAAGCCCTCGAAGAACAAGTGCAACAAAGATGGGTACGTTTAAAGGAACAAGAAAACGCTACAAGATTACGATTGCAACAACCTGTTAATCCTGTCAATCTCGAGGTTAAATGTGACACAATGTCAAAATCAATCAAGCCAGAGGTCGAACGTTCATCGATCAGCGATGGGGCAAAGTACCAAAGACAAAGTACACCTAAACCAAAGTTAGAGTCATCCCCAAGTGAAATCGGCGCTGATCTCTGGATGCAACTAGACGCATTACCATACCTATATTCAACGGCGATAAAAGTAATTATGAGCGCTGGAAATCAGCTTTTACTGCGTGTATTGATAAAGCACCAGCAACGCCGGAATATAAACTTCTTCAACTGAGACAATGTCTGTCTGGCGAAGCATTAAGAACAATTCAGAATTTGGGAAAATCAGCAGCATCCTACGAAGCAGCAAAGACAAGATTAGAACGAAAGTTTGGGGGTCAACGAAGAAAAATCGCGTTATATCTTGAACAACTCGAACGATTGAAACCCATGCAAGACGAGAACCCAAAAGAGTTGGAGAAAATCGCAGACATTCTCGATATCGTGATTGTTAACCTAAAAGAAGCTGATCGTGACGAAGAATTGGGCAACGGTGTTCTTTACGTAACCTTACAGAAAAAACTCACTGAACCTTTACTTGTTCGATATCATCGCTGGATCTATGAAAACAGAAGAATAGAATCGGTTTTATCTCTGCGAGATTGGATGTTACAAGAAGTAGAGTTCCTAACAACAGCATCTGAGACAATTCACGGTTGCGCATATCGTTTAGAAACGAGAAGAAAGAAGATTTATCATCAACAAACATTTTTCGGACGAAACAATAGATCGAAGTTAGAATCAAAAGCCTGTCCAACTTGTGATGGTCGACATGGAGTGTGGAGCTGCAAAAAATTTCGAGAATTAAAGCCATGGAAAAGATGGAATGTAGCGAAACAGTTCAAGTTGTGTTTTAGATGTTTAGATCATGATCACGTTGGAAGTTCATGCACAGCAACGAGAGTTTGTGGAAAGGATGGCTGTCAAAAAAACACACCATGAACTGCTGCATACAACGTTTAACTGGAACGATTCCAGTCGAAAACAGTTAGAGAGAAAACCAAGATATCCGCCAACCAAAAGCGTTCAAAAAGTTGTTAGAACTAGTTGCAGCGCCACCCAAACAGACGTCAAAGTGTAGCCTAGAAAAGATGATAGCCAAAGTGACAACAGCACTCGGTCCCACACAACAAGAAAGCAACAAACCTGAAAATCGGAAAGAATTCATAGCATTACGAACAGTACCTGTAGTTCTCAAAAATGGAAATCGCGAAGTTACGGTGAATGCTTTATTGGACGATGCGAGCACACAAACCTATATTAACACCGACGTAGCTGCCGAATTGGGACTGCATGGGAAATTTCAAAAAGCGACAGTGAACGTGTTAAACGGGCAAATGGAAACGTTTGTAACGATGCCAGTTGAATTTGAATTGAAGAGCTTAGATGGTGAAGTCACACATAACGTCAGTGCATTTACGACAGAGAAAGTGACTGGAGACATGGAAGTGATTGATTGGAAAGAGTATGCTGGAAGATGGGATCATTTAAAAAAATAGAATTTCCAAAGATTGGTCAGAAATCTACGGTAGATCTGTTAATAGGCGTAGATCATGCAGATCTTCTCTATTCAAAACAAGAGATCCGAGGTGACGAAGGCGAACCTATTGCAAGACTTACTCCGTTGGGATGGACATGTATCGGGCGACCAGGCAGAATAACCACACCTAATCACACTAACTTTAATCGCACCTATTTTACCCAAAGTCAATCGAAGTCAACAGATGTCGACAACATTCTACGACAATTTTGGGAAATTGAAGAAACACCTTCCTGTGATTATGGTACAATGAATGCCGAAGACCATCTCGCTGTTAACAAAGTGAAGAATTCGATGAAATATGAAGATGGTCGATACCAAGTGGCGATTCCATGGAAAGAAGATCCTTCAAATTTACCAGAGAATTACAATATGGCATTAAAACGATTAAAGAACAAAGAAAAACGACTAGCTAAAGATCCTGAGTTGAGCGGAGCCTATTCCAACGTTATCCTACAATATCTTGCAAAAAAGTACATTCGAAAGGTACAAAAAGAAGAACCAAGACCATCTTGTGTATGGTATCTACCTCGTGTCCCAGTATTGCGTCCTGACAAGCCTACGACCAAAACAAGAATAGTGTTCGATGCGTCAGCAAAATCCCGAGAAGTTTCGCTGAATGATGTGATGCTTCAAGGTCCGAAGTTACAACAGGATCTGAACAACGTACTTCTCCGTTTTCGAAGACATCCAGTAGCCATCGTGTGTGATATATCTGAAATGTATTTACGAGTGGAGATAGCACCGGAAGACAGAAACTACCACCGATTCCTTTGGCGTTCCATGGATCAGTCTAAAGAACCAGAAGAATACGAATTCAGCCGTGTTGTCTTTGGAACAAGTTCATCTCCTTTTCTCGCTCAATTCGTCCTTCAACAACATGCCCTAAAGAACAAAGATTCCTACCAATTAGCGGCCAATACTGTTGAAAATGCAACGTATATGGACGACAGCATGGACTCTGCAGTTGATGATAATCAAGCAATTGAACTTTACCGACAACTGAAAGAGTTATACGAGAAAGCCGATATGCATCCTCACAAGTGGTTATCGAATTCAAGAGCTGTCCTAGAACAGATTCCACCCCAAGAAAGAGCTTCAGCAGTGCATCTCGACGATGGGCAACTACCTTATATTAAAACCCTTGGTCTACAGTGGGTGGCAGAGGACGATGTGTTTACATTTACGGGTCATCCTCCAAAAGAACTCCAACTGACAAAAAGAACTTTTCTCAAAAAGATTGCATCTCTGTTTGATCATGTCGGGTTTCTTGCCCCATTTGTCATTGAAGCTAAACTTCTCATGCAACAACTGTGGATTAGTGGGTTAGGATGGGACGAACAGCTTGATGAGGCGTTACAAGAAAGAGCAATGACGTGGTTTCAACAGCTCGAACAGTTAACTACAATCAGAATTCCACGCTGTTTGTGTCTATCAACAGATACCGTGATTTCGTCATCATTGCATACGTTTGTCGACGCCTCCGAAAAAGCTTATGGTGCAGTTGTATATCTCCGAAGCCATTACGAGAGTGGGGTGACATCAATTCGCCTGATTTCCGCGAAGTCTAAAGTGGCAATTTTAAAAGCAATAAGCATTCCTCGTCTGGAATTAATGAGCGCAGTTATCGGGTTGAGATTAATCGTTCTCCTCGCTGACCTGTTAGAAATTGATGTCTCTGAAGTAACGTATTGGTGTGATAGTATGAATGTACTCGGGTGGATTCGAAACCAAAGCCGAAAATTCAAACCATTCGTGGCTAATCGTGTCGGAGAACTTCAAAGCCGTAACAATCCACAGCAGTGGCGCCATGTTCCATCAGGGGAAAACCCTGCGGATTTGATCTCAAGAGGAATAAATATCTCCGAGTTAAGGAGATCGGAGATATGGTGGAATGGTCCAAGATTCCTGGAAGAAAATGAAGAAAACTGGCCATCGAATCAATTTAAAAATGAGAAATACGAAAGTCTAGAAATGAAGAAAACGAAGTTTTGTAAAGATCGTAGTGGGTTAACCGAGATCAAAACGAGTCCACAGAAATCGGACAGTACGTTAGTAACCGTAAGGAAAGCTGAACCTGTAACATCGCCATTAGACACGACACGTTTCTCCAGTTGGTTACGTCTAAAAAGAGTTCGAGCTTGGATTAATCGGTTCATGAATAATTGTAAGCAACCAAGAGATAAACGGACTAATGGAGAATTAACATCCGAAGAAATTAACGATTCCGAAAATCAACTGATTCAGCTGGCCCAAGAAAGTGCATTTCCCGAGGAAATTGAAGCCATGCGAAGTGCAAAAGAATTACCGAAGAAAAGCAAATTACATCCATTAAAACCGTGGTTAGACGACGATGGACTTTTAAGATTGGGTGGTCGTCTTCAGTTTGCAGAATTTCTATCTTTCTCCACTCGACATCCAATAGTGTTACCTCGGAAAGAATGGATTACCACACTCATTGTCAAATCGTATCGCGAAGTTGGGAACCACGTCTGTGGCACTAACCATACCTTAGCATCACTCTCTTCACGCTACTGAGTACTCTGTGGTCGTGAGGAAATACGAGCTTGGGAGAACAAGTGTGTAGAATGCAAAAGAAGAACATGTAAACCTGCAATGCAAGTGATGGCTCCACTTCCTGATATAAGACTACGTATGACGATGCGTGCGTTTGCGCAAACTGCAGTGGATTTTGCAGGTCCTTTCTCGACGATTCAAGGTCGGGGAAAACGCAGACAAAAACGTTATCTTTCACTTTTTACGTGTTTATCAACAAGGGCTGTTCGCTTAGAAATCGCTTATGCAATGGACACTGACTCCTTTCTAAATGCATTCTATCGTATGGTCAGTCGTAGAGGATTACCTGACGAAGTTATTTCGGACAATGGATGAAACTTCATCGGAGCAGATAAAGAACTAAGAGAGTTGGTAAAGCAGTTGGATGTAGAAAAGATTCAAGTTTCGACAGCCAATCAAGCTGTAAAGTGGCATTTAAACCCTCCGTGTGCTTCACATTTCGGTGGTGTTCACGAAACTATGATAAAGGCTGCAAAACGAGCAGTGTACGCAATATTAAGTAACGCGGACATTACAGATGAAGAACTTCACACTGCGTTCGTCAGGGCAGAAGCTTTGATAAATTCACGCCCTCTGACTTATCAAAGTGCCAACCCTAAAGATGAAACACCATTGACCCCAAATCATTTTTGATCGGTCAGATGGGTGGAAAGTTTGCGCCCGAGTTGGTGGATTTTACGGATTTTAATCCCAAAAGGAGATGGCGACGAGTTCAAGAACTTGTTCGACATTTTTGGCATCGATGGTTACGGGAATGGATTCCGGGTTTAAACAGAAGACAAAAGTGGTTTTATCCTCAAAGAGATATTAAGAAAAATGATCTTGTGATAGTGATGTCGCCAGATACGCCTAGAGCAAAATGGCCCATTGGCAGGGTAATAAAAACTTTTCCTGTAAAAGATGGACATACGCGTGTCGTTCGAGTGCAAGTTGGTCAACAGGAACTGACTAGACCAATAACAAAACTATATCCATTACGTTATGATTAACTGTAAATAATTGTATATAGTGTGTAATTAATCTCTTATCATTGACGATACAAAGTACGTCAAGGTTGGGGGTATGAACAGAAGGAATGCGTGACTAATTGTTGTAGTGAACATGAACAATTTGAATTACAAATGAGTTGTGTGATAAGCAGTAGGTATGTTTAGTTTTTGTAATATATTCAAGTAAATCAGTTCAATCGAGTCGATCGTTTATCGTTTTGTATAGTTATTTTCGCTTCGTACCACTATGGGACAAAAAATGTTCATGTAGCAGCCCTGCAACTTTTCTTCAATAACGATGACCAAAGTTTTCTTTATGGAGGTATGGTTAGGAGAGGTTGTGTGGATTGGTGGATAAACTTCTTTAAAGACCTTAGGGATAGTGGCCTGTTCTATGATTCGGATGACATACAAGTTGAGTGTCTGCAGTTTTGCTTCACGAGCATGATACGTGACGAGCTGCGCAGGTTTGCTATGGAATGGAACCTGCATAGAATTAGAAAGTCGGTAAATGCAGAATCTCCAAGTGGTCAACCTGATGTCATATATTTCCTCTCTTCAACAACAGATGATGCAAGGGATCTAATTACGCCAGTTTCTGAAGAAGATATAGAGATTGCCCAACAGAAGTGTTGTGTCCAAACACCAGAACATGGTTGCTCGGAAGAGCTTGTTGAATTAGCGTCAATTATAATGATAGAGAAGCATCTAGAAATGTCTACCAATTCAGAATATGCCGTTATTTTCTATTCAACCATTGTAGAAGAGATTGGACAAATATTGTAGATTCAATGTACACCTTTTTTTGTAAGAACGAATTTTAATTTTAAATATAAAAATAATAACATTGAGATTTTAATTGCAAAATAAATTAGAATACAAATAAATAAATGAGAAACAAATTACAAAATAAATATTGCAAAATAAATATTGCAAAATAAATTAGAAACAAAATAGAAACTGAGGCTGATTATTTGAGAAAAATAACTTGGAATGTTTTGAGTCTGAAAGCCTGGACAAACTTAATGCCACTGGTTCTTATAAAAATTCTGGTCAGTATACCTGTACATTTGTAAGCTATACATTATTCCTTATTTGTCAAGAATTGTCACAGTTTGCTACTGCATATATAATTATGATGTTTAAAACAGTTTAATTTCAAACGGTACAATAGTGACGAGTAATTTGTTAACTTGTCATACTTGTTAAATGAAGATACCTACCTCGAACACACCTCGCTGGTAGACTTTGGCCAAGGGCACTGCAAAACGTAAATCCAGTCATGTATATACTTTACAAATTGTTACTACATTAATAACTTTTTAATAGTTAAACAACAAAATATGTATCAATGTTTGTTTAATTAAAATAAATATCAATGCTTTCTTAGATAAACGATACTACTCTGACTAAAGTTTTCCAGTCCATTCCACAGTAGCAAAGGCTGTGAAATATACCAATTAATTACAATAAAATATAGACCTGATGCTATACAACATTAAAATATAAATACATGCACTCATACAACGCAACAATTATGTAAATAAACCCTCCAAAACATTACGGACTTCAGTGTCTGTTACAGAAAATTTATTGCAAGTCACCAAGTATGGAGAATCACTGTGTAATCATGCATTACCAAAGCCTCTCCATTTTGAATACCAAAGGTCATGTCGGCTACAAAGGCTTCACATGTAGTGTGCACTACAGGAAGATATAATATCTCTGAGCATATGTGTTAAGTTTGCCTTGGGGAACCTCGACTTTTCACCACATGCTTCAGGATGATGTAGAAATGGAATAGTGGGATACACCTTCCGAGCGGGAAGGAGTTTACATGCTGTTGAAAAGAACAAAATGTCATTGAAGGTAAGGGAATCTTTACCTTCTTCAATATCCTGTAGATAATCATGCCATCGTGATAGAACCAAGCTTTCTGTTACTGCTTTGTTTGATCCAACTGGACATTGGAACACCTAGAACAGGTTTTCAGTGCTTTCAGCTGTAAGCTTTTCGGGATAATAGCAAAACGCTGGACGAAAAACATCAGGATTCTGTGTGAGTGCATCAAAGACCCCAAGCGTTGACAAACCATTTAGGAAACTTTCCAATGCTGGTCGGGCACGTCCAAGGACGAAATACTTTGCTGTCATTTCGGCAATCTTCCTCATATCGTCTGTCGTCTGGAACGGTTGAAGCATCCCAGCAAGATCAAGAACGCCCTCCAAAGTGCTGCCATTCATAACTTGGACCGCCTCTTCTTTACTAACAGAATTACTTAGCTTTTCAAGTGATGACTGTAATTCCCTTTCATACACATCTTCAATTGTAATGGCAAATTTGTCAGGAACGCGGTGAAGAGCTTCAAACATGTTATGGGCAAAACACTGAGGTCCAGCGCCACCATGCACTAAGGACATTGCTATGAGGGTACCAGCAAAAAATAATCGTTACCTTCGAGGCAAGTGGATTGGAAAGAGATGTATTTGTGATGTTCAGGACTACAAAATAACTGGGAAGTTGCCATTCACTGCAAAACTAGTGTGAAGAATTTATTCATAGGTCCACGTATGTAAATATTACAGACATCTTGTTTTTTGCACAAAATGACTTTCGCGTTAGGGCTCTTTTCGCTCCTTCCCATACAAAACTTCGAGAAATGTTGAATTTAGATATGGATGTGTAGTCGATTTCCTTTGCCAAACCGTCAAGAATTTCGTGTAGTTCATTCTTTGGGACACCAGATTGTACACGAACGTTCTCTGCTGTTGTTTTGTAGTCGCAAAAAAGGAGTTATAAAATATAGGGCTAAAGTTTGCGAGGCTGTGATCGGTGAAAATAAGGCAAAATTAATTATATCTCCTGAGTCGCCAAATTAAACATCGACACTTTATTATTAACAATCTCGCTTCCCATTTTAAAAACCACTAGCTAGCTAATAGGATAGAATCTTACTAAACGTAGCTCGTAGCTTAGTATTACAATCAGACTTACAAATTTTCATAAAATTTATTACACTGACTACAACAATTAAATATCAAACGAGATACGAGTTGAAAATATACTTCAAAAACTCATTACAGTCGTGCCAATAGCAATCTCGTTCCCAGAGTATGCCTGTTCGCGGATTATGTGATCATGCCACTACATAACCGGCGAACAGACACCTTCTGGGAACGAGATTGTGCCAACAGAGGCGTTCCGAAAAATGTTGACCAATTCTTTTCCTAACTTGAAGGAACACCTCTGTACAATTCCTCAATAGCCTTCGTTGCAGGCCCTCAGTTTTATGGGGGACGATTTGCAACGGGCAGGATTCTGGCAGGGACGGGGAGAAATCCTCTGAGGGCCTGCCACGCAGGCTAATTCCTCAACAATTTTATAAGTTCCTTAAAAAGTTTCTAACTTCCTGTTTCATTGGCCAATCAGATTGCCCAAAAATAAATTATATGTGATAAAGATTCTTGTGCACTATTCTGTGCCTCAATTGTGAACTAAGCTTATGTGCCTCTGTTGTGCACTAAGCTATTGAAAATAAATTTCATTATTATGAAACTACACACAGTACAAAAAAAACCTTGAAATGTATAGCAATATTTTATTAAATCATTGCTTTGACGACTTTCGACGAGTAGGTTTAGTAAATACAGTATCTCACTTTAGTGTAATTTCAGTATTGAAAAGTGGCCTTTGAGCATTCTGATTGACTGCCGACCACATACTTTCAGTAATCAAAGCTTCGGCACATGTGTTTTATCAGATATAAAGATACGAGGCGAAGGTCTGATTAAATACGAACTACGATTGTTTTAAAGGCGAAGTAATTTTAATACGTTGTATAAGTCAAGAAAATCATGTTGCTAGCTTGACTGATCTCAATACAATCCATGCATTGCATTCTGTAATCTGTATATATATGAATGGTGATATGTCTTGAAATATACTGCCTGCTTAATTAAAAATTCTGAAATATACTTGTATTGAAATATACTGCCTGCTTAATTAAAAATTCTGAAATATACTTTACTTGAATTTAATTCGGCGCGAACATGACCACGGTTTTTTTTATGTTTTTTAAGCAAGATTACTAAAAATACGTGCAGGCCTAACTATAATACATTAATACTTACTCAGGCATATAGGAGCTCGTTATTGTTTTTACTAACAGTTCCAAATCCCAAAAACTGCACTTCATCATCCGATTCTAACAGTCCTGGGGTTCCATGCTCTTCTTCAACCATTAAATAGGTACACCTGTCAGATAATTCTACACTTGGATTTTGCACCACCCCCAAGTGATAGATTGTAAAGTTCTCTAGATCCGGGCTGAGGGAACCAGCACAGTCATACAGAGCTGCCATGCGAGAGGTTTCTGGAAACTTTCTAGATTGCAAACTCATTGTGATATGCCTGACCTTGACAGTTACAAACTCATCATCAGGCTCGGGAAACACTCTATCTGCTCTAGTATTTTGAATTCTCTTTTTGCGCTATGATTCTTCGTTCTCTCTTTCACGTGAGACAGCTTTTCTTTCATCTGCTTTCAGCGACTCTTGATACTCCTTGTCTTGTTCTGATGCAAAAGACTGCCTCTCGAGTGTGGAGCCAATCAGTGAGCTTTCTTGAGTTTGGGACACAAGAGACCACTCGACTTCCTCCTCCTTTGACCAGAGGCACAAATGTGTAAGCTTGCTCCTGTTCCTTGAAATGTTTCCATCCAAGGCAAACCTTTTTGAATTTTGGTTCTAGTGGCTCTTTTATTGAAGAAGTACTGTTTTTAGATTTAGTTTTTGCTTTAGTTTTTCCTTCTTTCTGGAAAGGAATGCCTCTAGCAATGCTCTTTTCCTATTCTTATTTCCTTCTTGTGAACTGCTTTCATCTTCTTGATGAGCACAGAAACCTTTTAAGCTGAGACGATCTCCTGCCTTTGAGAGGCCCACTTCTTTTAAAAGCTCATCAGAAGCATTTGTGACTGCAGTTGTGTAATTGTACACTCTGTAATATGTTAAAATGAAAATGTTCTAGAGTGTGTAATTAATATACACGAGTATGTTTACGACATCCAGTATATATTTCATAATTTCCAGTCTTAAATCCGTCTGACCGTGTACCTCAGTTGGTAGAGCGTCGATCTAGTAATTCGAAGGTCGCGGGTTCAAAGCCCAGCCGCGGCAGCCAACATCTTAATCAGCCAATTAATTCTTGTTGTCCGTAATTGAACGAAGAGTGCTCAGTACCAATATGCGATAGAGCTTAAATAATTCTAAATATACTAAAATAAATATTATTATTATTATATGTTATTATTATTTTTAAATATATTTTAAGATATAAAGAGTTATATATATATATATATATATATATATATATATATATATATATATATATATATATATATATATATATATATATATATATATATATATATTTAACAATTATACCATGAGCTCGAGTCGTATATGAGCTGGTATAGCCGACGAGGTGCGTAGCACCGAGTCGGCTATCAGCCATATACGACGAGAGCGAATGGTATAATTGTTTTATACTATAGTCTAATATAGCCATTAACTGCAGCAGTAATTAATTATTCACTGTTACAATGTGTTGACAATTTGTTCGGCCAAAAACCGCTTGAAAATTTGAAACACTTTTAAAAGTTTTACAACTCGAAGACGAAGTAAAAGAAATGGTTTTAGAACCTCTATATCTCACAGGAAAGCTCAGATATATTATACAGATGTTTGGTACTATCGTAAGGGAAAGTTTATTTATTACACCGAGGGAGGGGGGTGAAGATGTCTTGAAAAAAGCTCATATTTTTACAGTGCCCCTGTTGAGGTTATCGGTAAATTTCGATGCCCCCCCTCGAAGTTTTTAAAATTTTCAATGCCCCCCCCCCTCTAGAATTCGGGATCGAGGGAGTACAATCCGGAATTCTCTCTTACCATAGATACAATTTGCAGTTCCTTAAGATGTCTGATATACTCAAGTGCTTCTCCTCAACAAAACTACCGATCTGCTGCTTCTTTCATCTCACTAGCGCCAGATGAAATGGCACCGTCTTTAAAACATTTTAAATTGGCTCTAGGGGTGGATTTATCAACAGGTTGTTGTTGTCCATCATTGAGCGTATTCGGAGTCTTGAACACGTTCATGTAGTGGCCAGGATTTCCTGGATCAGGGTAATGTGCTGGAACCTTACAGTATGTTGCCCCCACCCAACGTATCTCCCGGCATCTGTTGCAAATGTCTTTGCATGCCTGTCAAAAATGCATGCAAAAGTGCCAGTATGCTTCAATTTCTTTAATTTCCATCCCGTTCGTACGAAATATCCCGTAAACATAGAACATATCATTCTTGCAAATTGCATGTATATGCTTTTTTTGCTTTTTGGCGCGTAAATTACTTAACAAACCTGGCGCAAAAAATTTAAAATAAGCTATAGGTGATTTCATGTATCCATTTAAAAGAGCAGACTAAGGATATCTTAAAACTGAAATCGGTTTCGAATACAACCATCAGGGACGTAGCAAAGCATCTGACGTTTGGGGTGGGGGAGGGGGGGATGTCAGAGGATTATACGTGTAATAATTATAATAAAGCTTTTTGTGATTGATTGCACTCTTATACTAAGTTTTGGGAGAAAAGGGGGT